GACCAACCGAAAACCCCGGGTACTCGCATAAATGACCTGGGCTTAGTCTATCGAAAGGCTGCTCTACACTTCGGTTGTCTTGTTGCGAAGCTCAAATGCTGACGGAGAATCGGAAACGTTGCAGACACTCTCTGATATCTGTGCCTCCACGACCCGAAACGATAAGTGGTCTTCAAGGCTGAATAATTGTCTGTAATAACTGTTAATAAAATTGTAATTGTAATAATTGTTAATGAAGTCCGTGATGATGACTTTTACCCTGACGTCGAAACACCAGAATAAAGTAAAAGGTTATACACACATAGCTGGTTGAACGATTCATGGTTCAAGGCATCGGCAGAGTAGAGAGTAAAACTGTTTATTGCCAAAGTATTTTACTACATACAACATAGCATCATCAGAGTTGAGCTGAATACAAATGACTGCTTGAAGGCATTTATATCGAACTAACGAAGAAAACTATTGTTTTCCAATTGGCACATACTTTACAAAGAAGTGCTGTTGAACTGCTTGACCAGAACGTTAACCAACAGAAACAATATAAAGATCATATTAAAAGTGCAGTCATATCTTTACCATCTAAACCTAATTTTGTGTATTAAATTCGTGACTGCCCCAACTTTCATTAAAAATCATGGAAGATGTGCTTTCATTACACATCTGGTATTCCATTGCCATTATATCAAGGACTCATTTATTGGCAGGCCTATTTTGGAATGGTATTTATCTATGACAGACACGTTGATCTGACAGTGGTTGACACGCAAATGATAGGGATAAGATTAGTTTGCGATACACACATGCTCCTGTTGCATGTGCTGACCGGTTACAGTTCACCTGAATGCACTTGATAGCTGGCTAAAACGCAGCACAAGGTTTGATTGTAAATTTAAAAAGCCCCCATTGTAATGTCCCGGACATGGAGAGCTGAGGGTGAACAAAATAAGCGACCGCATTCCAAAATGAGATACGTACGGGCAAAATGGTCATTGATTTTTAGCCCTTTATGTTTATAGAGCAAAGTTGTTTAGAAGAACTGCACTCCGCTGAAAACGGGGACAAAAGGATTAAGTGTTACCCTCTATATTAATTTCAAAATACCATGATGGTCCATTTTCTCAGTTGTTTCATTTCAGTATCACTTTTATTTCTTTCTTATCATTCTATTACTTTTACTGGCTTCATTCGGTTCTTTTGCTTCGCTTTCTTCATTTCCATTTTCA